GACAATTGCTTGTTACAAATGTTTACTTCCCACTTCCCCTCCTTTATGTTTTTTATTCTCTACCTAAGATAATCTCTTTTCCACTACACTACAGGTGGTAGTCTTGGACAATTTCTACGGCACTATCTGTCTCTCACGCCACCACCACAACAAGTCAAAGACTCATATATGAAAATGGCAAACATGGCATCATTTTGGACCCTAATACTAATCAAATGTATATGTGTGTGTGTGTGTGTGTGTGTGCGTGCGTGTGTGTGTGTGAGTGTGTGTGTGTGAGTGTATGTGTGTGTGTCTGTTTACTGTACATGTTTACTTGTCATTTTGTGTGTGTGTGTGTGTTTACTGTACATGTTTATTTGTCATTGTGTGTGTGTGTGTGTGTGTGTGTTTACTGTACATGTTTATTTGTCATTTTGTGTGTGTGTGTGTGTGTGTGTGTTTACTCTACATGTTTATTTGTCATTTTGTGTGTGTGTGTGAGTTTACTCTACATGTTTATTTGTCATTTTGTGTGTGTGTGAGTTTACTGTACATGTTTATTTGTCATTTTGTGTGTGTGTGTGTTTACTGTACATGTTTATTTGTCATTTTGTGTGTGTGTGTGTGTGTGTGTGTTTACTCTACATGTTTATTTGTCATTTTGTGTGTGTGTGTGAGTTTACTCTACATGTTTATTTGTCATTTTGTGTGTGTGTGAGTTTACTGTACATGTTTATTTGTCATTTTGTGTGTGTGTGTGTTTACTCTACATGTTTATTTGTCACTTTGTGTGTGTGTGTGTTTACTGTACATGTTTATTTGTCACTTTGTGTGTGTGTGTGTGTGTGTGTGCGTGCGTGCGTGCGTGCATCCCATAACTTACCCATACACTTGACGGTGCCAGAAATCTGGGCCCGGAACTGAGAGAAGTTCACGTCCAGTACGGGCTTGCTCAGCACGTTGACCACCTTCTCCGAGGGAGCCAAGGTCAGGCCGGCCTTGACCTCTGCATCAGTCATGTGCACCTGAACGGGGAGGGGGGGGGGCAAGGATAGACAACATAACCATAATGATGAAGTCAGCATAGAGATGAGTCTTCACAGCACCAAGGCGATGAAATAGGCAATAACATAGACGATAAAATAATGGCCACATTTTACAATACACACAGCAGTACAATTTTTTTTTAAAACTCCAATGTTGCATTCAGGCAGCTACTTGTCATCTATTTTCAGTGCAATGAATAGCCATATTTCCACAGGTTGACAACATCATCACATTCCCTACAACTGTCGGACAAAAAAGTGGGAGTCCCTGGCACTCAGAGCTTACACTAGTATGGGATAGAGAGAGCGCTATATAAATGCAATATATTATTACGATTATTATTATCATAAAGAAAAGTGCAGAGTCAGCCCAGCCTACCTTCACAACATATTTCCCAGACTGAACAATCTCCGCCTACCTTCACAACATATTTCCCAGACTGAACAATCTCACAGAAGGCACCCGTTGAGTCAGTGACGGTCGACTTGGCGTCCGAACCCTTGCCCTCTGGGTAGTAGATGAGCCTGCGCTGTGTGGACAGTTTGCCGAGACTCTCAGGGACTCGGTCAATGGTCACTTTGCCACACAGGCTGAACCTGGAGAGAGAGGACCAATTACCGAAAAATGAAAATTTCAGTTAAAGTGTGTGGGTTTAACACTTACAGTACCGAAGGCTCAATTAGTGAAAAACCTTCAAGTACTGCACCAGTTTAGAATGCTGAAGCCATTGTGTTAATTAAAAAGAAACCTTCGCAGCCTAAGAAAAAAGTTTTTAAAATTCACAGAAGTTCATCAACCATTCAGCTATGATATAGAGTGACTTCCTTTGGTATTTACTTCAGTGCGGTGCGTCCATTCGTTGTTTAATTATTATGTTTAGTGTGCCTGGTCGAGTCAGTAACTAAAGTCGCCAGCAGTAATGAGCGCATACTCCAGCCAGGTGACTAAAGTCGCCAACGGTACTGTAAGTTTAAATGCCCGTATCAACATTTTTAGGTTATTTAACCTAAAACAGTCGGAGTGGATCGACGTACCCAGCGGCGACCAGACTGGGCAGCTGCGGGGTCTTGGGCGTGATCTCCACCGACATCTCCTCGAAGGCCACGTTCTCCACCTTGGCGTTGAGGCGGTACGTGCCCGTCTTCATGTTCTCCAGGTTGAATGAACCGTCCTCCGCGCTGACCGTCTGCTCCTTGTCGTTGATCAAGATGACGGCCTTGGGGATGCCCACTCCCTAATGAAAAAAAAAAAAGCGTAACGGTAATTATTTCTGTTTTAAGCCTCCATAAATACTGTCGACCATTTAAGTTGCTGGCTGCTCTGACCCTGCCAGTCAGCACCAACACTGTGCTGAGAGGGATACAATGTTCCGACAGACAGACAGACAAGACACAGACACTCTTGGAAAAAAAACCCTCCCCACATGGGAATCAAACACATATCATCTGCGTGCACCGGTTAAGTGCCTAACTGCTATATCACAGACGACAGAACCCACTCCTCTGGGAGACTGATACCACAAGACATGACATGAGCCAAGCTCAGTGATAGTCTGTGGTAGAGCTGGGAAAAGAATCATTCCGGAACTGATTCCCACGATTAGTGTTACAGAAAATAAGTTCTGATTCCTTTTTACGTAAAAGAACTGTTACCAATTACTATCTTTATTAAAATTTTATTCTTTTGTTGTTTTTTTCTGGATTTTTTTTTTTTTAATGTTTGTGCCTCGCCATGTTTCAAAATCGAGGTTATCCTGCTTGAAGCTGACCAGGTAACTGGAACAGGCCTACAGAGAAAGAAACAGACCACGATCTTCCACCTACAAACAGAACATATACAGCTCGACTTCCACCTGAACAGA